ACACTGAGTTGATATAAGTGGGCATTGGAGACCAAAAATTGGGCAGATAAAGGCATGAAGGCGCTGGCTTACAAACTTTCATAGGGGTTTGTAACTGTTCACATAACTTTTATTAGGAATTATTTTTATTTATAAATAAAAATTTTTAATAAAATTTTATGTATTTATAAAATAACTTTTATTAGCAAGTATTAGGCATAGAATATTGTTGTTTTTGTTCGCTTATAGAATATTATGTTTAAATGAGGATGGCACATTTTGAAATGTGCATTTTAGTTTCATCCTGCTAGGCACAGATATGATTTTATTATTGTTTGTTAAAAATTGTGTATGGCTAAAGAATGGTATAAAAGTGTCAAGTTGACAAGGGGTGGTCTGTGGTAGTTAGACAATTTCATGTCAACTTGAGAAAAGAATGAAGGAGTGGAGACGATCCCATCTATCATGTCACAGCTGGATGATCCCTCTTCGTGGGTGTGGTCTATTCCTGAAGATTCTTGGTCTTCCTCTCTTCCTCCTTGGAGGTGGGACATACTCTCTCTGCTTGGCCTTCTGGTTGACAAGCCAGGTGAAGCCACGCAGATGGCAGTCAGAGCCCTGGAGATGCATCTGCTGCCATTGGATCCACGGGACCTTCCAGCCACTGGCCTGTGATCTTCCTGTATTCAGCATCATTGCATGGGCTGCATGAGTCAGAGAGAAATTTATGGACATATGGGAGATGGTATCAGATATATGGGCTAATATTGCACTTGTTATGGACTTGAACTTGGCTGGGGTAATTTCTTAATGTACAATTACTCTTTGATATAAAGCTCTCTCTTACATGCATGAGTGTCCTGGATTTGCTTCTCTAGTCTACTCAGACTAACATATATGTTTCTATCATTACTGAGCTGGTTTCAGAGGAGGGTGGACGTTGAGTACCCTAGAGATGCTGGTATTTGGCTGTAAATTGTTGGGCGTTTTAGAGGATCTTTTCTTCTTTCTTCAGAAGGGCAGAGTTGTTGTCAATTATGATGCTTTCAAGTAGTATTTTCAGTTATGTGTTTTTCTCCTTGGCATTGTCTGTGATGGGTTTGAGGATTCTGTTTTCTTTCTTTTTTTTCTTTTTTTGCATTCTGTTTTCTTGAGGTGGATTAGCCAACTGTAGATTACTTAATTAATGCACTCTGCTCTAAAGACCAGTTTTATTGTTCAATGCACCAAAATATGCTGTAGTTAAATTAATTTAGGTAGACATATTATTATATTTCAATTAGATTATTTTTCACTTCTAATATATAATGATAATATGATTTATTATTTTCTGAATTACACACAAATTTCAATCCTAAGGGACTTGCAGTGTAATATTTTCATTAAAAGCAATATCAATGTTGAATAACACATTAATAAATTAAGACCTTCAGAAGCAGAAAATAATGGGGAAAAGTCTTGTGCGATAGTTTCCTCACCCTTCAACCATAGTTAATTCAGTTATAGAGTGAAAACCAACAAACAATCAAAAAACCTATTCAGGCATCACCCAGTTTTAAAGAAGTTTAACAGGTTCTGATATTTTCTATGGTGACTGCATTTATATGATTTATATTCTGAAATACATAATTAAAAAAAACACTATGTTGTTGTTACTTCTTTTCTTGGGTCCTAAGCATTTTCCAGGAACCCTGCATGAAACATTGTTTAGAAACCAGAATTTTGGCTGTTCACATCTCCTCAGACATACCTTGGCCGGAAATTTATTTTCAACCAGACTTAGCCTTGTTCACCTCAGGAAGTGCAGTTCTATTCTGCACCCTGTCCTGGAAATGAATGCCAGGATGATGCGACCTATTCTCCTCATACCAAAGAAGACCCCCAGTTATGAACAGAGTCCCACGCAACAAACACGAGACAGGAAAAGAAAGAATTAAGGGGTTAGAGCCTGGAAAGATCTTCTAAACTTCCTATGTATAATGATGGGAATATAGATTATCTATACACCTATCATGTATATAATAAAACCTATAATGACATACCAGGTGCTTCCCCAAAATCACATGCACAAGGAATAACATGATAAAGTACTCGCTAGGAAACATTTTCTGTTGCAAAGTGAGACTAGATGTAATTTTTCTCATGGAGACGCACACACAAAACACACACATATATGCAAATGTACACAAACATATATTTAAGGTTTTATACACTTATTTTTAAATGAATCTGTTAATGAGGTGTAAACTGATGAAAAAGATTCCAATAAAGATGGATTTGGTGCAGTGTGTCTGGGACAATCCACTAACTGGGTCGCAGAGTAGGTCTGTACAGAAGGGATTCTGCACAAGTGCTTTATGAACGTTGGGAAAATGATAGATTTCACTGAGGATGTCGATGAGGCATGCCTCAGATTCGCCACTTACTTTCTTTTCAAATGGAAGGTACTCCTGATTATATCGGTGGACATGATTGAGCAGAGTTTCTCATTTGCACACCAGTTGGGCATTCTTCCCAAATCCTGTCTGCTAATGAATTCATTGGTCAATCGCATCAGTTCCCATGCACTGTAACTCCCTGTGAGATAGACCATGATAGAGGGATTTCAACATATTATGACCTTTAAAAATTATACTTCGATGAAAATTTACATAGCACCCCCCACCCCCACTTCCCAGTTCCTAGGTATCATGATCAGTGACATTCTTGGTATTTCTGTTCTAGTGTTTCATTTATGTTTATTTTAATCCCTTGCTCTTCCTCAGTCTTTCCATCTCCCTTTAAAATAGATGTTGGTCCTTCAGTTTTACATAGATGATTAAGGGGGGAAAATGTAATTCAAGACAAAGGGGCGGCAATCTTTACTCTTTGGGATAACATGTGACTTCGTTTAAAGGCAGCTTCAGGCAACTGTCCAATCAAGGTGTGAAGAGTGGCTCAGGGCCTTAGTTCCAGGGACTCCTCCGCTTTTCTGGGCCCAGTTAAGTGTGGCTTCTCTCAAAGTCTGAAGTCCTCTTCTGCAACTTTCTTCATTTTCATCTGAACTTCTCTATCGCATTCCTGCTAAGAGGATTCAGCAGCAGTGCCTGAGCACCGTGGGGGCTTGGCTGAAGCCGGGGTTCTTGTAGACAGCAGTGCAGGCCCTGCCCTGATTCATGAGTTTCCTCCTTTCTCTTTGGTTCCAGATGAATAGAGACCATTGTTGATCTTAGATAGACTTACCATAGAAAACTGAAGATAAAATTTCCCACTTCTGTCAAGTTTCCTTTTGAAATTTGTATCAGGATTGTGTTGTAACTGGAGATAACTTTGGGTATGCATCATAGCTTTTTGAAAAACATTCTGAATTACTGTAAAATTGATTTCAGATAGTCAGAAAAGTGACTTCTTATCAGATAAATAAACCAGGTAAAGGAGTAATTTCCAGCTATCAAGTTTATGAATAAGAATCAAATTCATATGTGTATGTGGAAAGAGTCAGAGAGAGAGAGAGAGAGAAAGAGAGAGAGAGGGAATGGGAGTTTGCAATTCTTATTAAATTTATAAGTATTTATTGCTTATAAATTTTATTCAATAATTAATATAAAAGATTATGATATTTCCAAACTGTTTTGCTTATTTTTCCTCTCACAATTCCTTTTCTATTCCAAGTTCTAAAAAATCTGGAATAAACATGATTTTGTTATAAATATGAAATCGGAGTTGCATATTTCAAATGCTAATATTTTCATTATCTATCTGTGGATTAACCCTGGAAGCCTTTAGTTACAACTTGGTTTCTCCTTTTGGTATTCTTACAGCTCTGTTTCCCGGTGTTCACTGAGCTAGGCTAAGATATATTAAATTCAGGAACAAAACCCTTTAAGTTTTTGGATCTTGGGATGTGGGGTCTGTTCAGTGCTGTGCTCTGACAGATAAGCAAACGTTGACCCTATTACCACTAATGGATCAGTGTATTTTCACACGCAATTACACATCTGGTGTATATTTCCCCTCCTTTCTGCTAACTTAAAATATATTGGTGTTAAATAAAGGCCAGGCATGGGCCTAGCCCCAGAAACTGCCTCTGGCATTTCTGTCTCGTTTCCCACGCAGCTATCCCTCCGCTGTCTCTTGGCTCACGCACTGTGGCGCAGCACCCACGCCGGGACTAGACGTCTCAGGCTCGTGTCAGTGTCTGCTTTTATTACCATTCCGAGCGATTTAACAATCTCTCCGTTTCACTTCAGGAGTCATTTGCTTTGAAGAGCAAAACAACTGTGTTTTTGAGAAGTTGATATTTATAAAAATCATGGTGGCAAGAGCATTGATTTCTAACTTGATTCCAGATCTTGGTTCTCAAAATAGAAGCTCTGTGTCGGACACTGAGAAAGCTTGCTCTGACAATCAGTGTGACTCTTGTGGGCATAAATGAGGAACACCTGACAGGAGATAAATCAACTAGATGGCCAAATGCGTTTCCAAGTGTGTCATTTTCTGTGGAAGGGATGATTCATGGCAGAGCGGGGGGAAATATATATATATATGAGTTCTCTTAGAATGTATCTTTTAGTTTCAATTAACATATTTTTAAAAGATACTCTCATTATGCAATATTCAATGTTTATTACTTCTTCTTGGGGCTAAATTTAAAATATACATGTAAACCAGGAGGGAAAAAATTAGAGTGATAGCAGTAAGTTTAAGAAAGTGTTGACAACTTTTAATAATAAATAAAACTCACGAAAATACCTGTACATTGTGGGGGTTTCCCCCCTCCTATAAATGCAGATGTATAGAGAGATAATCTCTAGATGTGGTTGACCGGCTTCCCCTGGCATTCCATCATCAGCCCTTAAGAGGCACGCAGTGAAGTTGGATAGATATTTCTCGAAATGATGCATTGTACGCAGTGCATGCTTTTCCTGTGCTTCCTGCCATTCTGGAACAATGTGTCTTATTTGGAAAGACAATGATCATTTTTGTGAAATCATGTTCAGTCAGCTTATATAATAACACCAATGTTTTGTGAATCATTTCAGATTTCAGAGAGCTATGCCTTCCTCCCAAGAGAAGCTGTGACACGGTTTCTAATGAGCTGCTCAGAGTGCCAGAAAAGAATGCATTTAAACCCAGACGGAGCAGATCATAAAGGTAGCTGCAGTGTCAACTAGTGAGGCTGAAAGTAATTTTATTCATAATGCCAATTTGTAGTCCTCATTTTTATAAAAACGGGGTAGACCGAAACAGTTCAATAAGTCAGATCATCTCATTTATTCAAGTAGGAGGCTGTGGATTTTGAATATCCACTTAGAAAGTGATTCAGTGTGCTTTCAGAAGAAAAAAAAAAAAAGGTTTCAACTGTAGCAAATAACTGGTTTCCCCAAGATAACGTTTGAATTTCCACTTACTGTATACATCTCCAGGGAGTTCCCCTAGAGTACACGAAGGAATGTATAGTAGACCAATGCCGGGTCCAGTCCCGAGTCTCAATTTCTTAGATGGTGAATCATGTGGGTGCAACCACTGAACATATTGATGTGCCAATAACCAGCCTTTGGATTTAGATTTTGTGACAATTACCTAGATTATTTGTTTGAATCCTTGGATTTCTTTCTGGAATGGCATTTGTTTCTCAGGTGCAATTAACCTAGTCCATTCCGATCTGCTAGAGGATGAGCAAACTGGAAAGTAGAATAAGAACACATGACAAATCCGATGTCAGTATGCACTCAGGTGGTACAGCTAAAAAGTACTTCTGCAGCAAAGGAGGACAATAGAACTCATTGAGTTTCAGCCTTAGTCACTGTTACACACAATATTAGCGCGCTCTCTAGTAGTTATGAATACTTAATGTACCTTTAGTGCTAATTTGTCTCATTATGCCTCATAGACCCTTACCATTAATTTTTTTCAATGACCTAGCAGCAACCATGCTACTTAACACTTGGTGTCTAGTCTAGAACCCTATTTCAATGTGGACAAGTTGCATCAAATGACAGGTTTGAGAATTCTGGTTCTTTCCATTACCCATTAAAAAATGTTTCCTTGCAGATAATGGAAAGCCTCCCACTTTGGTGACCAGTATGATTGACTACAACATGCCAATTACGATGGCCTATATGAAGCATATGAAACTGCAGCTGCTAAACTCACAGCAAGATGAGGTAACGTGAGAGCATCTACATTTGTACCACTTGTAATACGAATGAGGGCTGATCACCATTACTGTTGTATTAAGCATGATGGTTTTCTGAAAGTATGAGATGAATTTTAATGAAAGGATGCCTCCGAGATTGCATGGAAGGGGAAATGGATTGGAGACTTCCAGGCTTGGCTGGAGAGGAACCATCTTAACAGTCCTTTCTTTACCTTGGGGAGCCCTGGGAATATAGTGGTTGTGAGTTGGTCTGCGATCTAGCTCTTCAGGAGAAAGATTTGGCTTTCTCCTCCCATAAACAGTTATCGTCTTGGGAACTCAAACCCACAGGGGTCGCTGGGAGTCAGCATTGACTCCATGGCAGTAAATGAGGACCTTCGGGCTACTTGGGAATCTTGTTATTCTTGCCCAAGAATCATTTTCTTTTCCTCTTGAGTTTGCCTTGATGTACTAGGAAGCTAAAGGTTGGAGGGGGTAAGTGAGCATCCACAGATATGTAAATGCCCAGGCTACTGTGCCTGAAAAATCAGAAACGTTAACTTAATGAGTCAAGTATAATGATTTCCCAGCTATCCAAATCGTACATATATTTTAAAGTTATTTGTAAGTTCATCACTATTCTGTATATAGACTTGTCTGTCTCTCTGAATTTGCTAGAGACAGTTTGTGGTGATCAGTCTTAATTGGGGAGGTCCTGATGTTCCACATCATTATAGTTGTATTGTGAAAATGTAGAATGCAACACCCCCCCCAGCAGTATGTTAGCATATATCAGACACTAAATGTATGTATATATGAACACTCTTTACTAGGCTTCCAGTTTTCTCCAATTTTTGTAGCAATATCTCAAATGCTGAGAATAAGCTGTATATCTGCCCTAATACCCATGAGACATAACAACAGAGATATACAACAAAGACTTCGTAGGTCCCTTTTAAATACTTACCCACAAGCCAAAATCAGGCCCACTGCTGTAAAGTGGTTTCCAACTCAGCAACCCTCTGTAGGCCTTCTAAGACTGGACATTTTTATGAGAGCAAACTGTCTGATCTTCCTCCTGAGGAGAAGCTGGTGGGTTTGAACTGCCAACCTTGTAATTAGCAGCCCAATGCTAATGAACGCATCTACCCACTTTTAGCAATTAGTAGCCATTAATTGCTAGGCGTATTCAGATTATGTGTATTAAAAATTGTTTCTCAGGTTAACACAGTCTCTCCTTGAAATATTTGTTGAATAGAAAATGTGATTAAACATTTTTCAAATATAACACTGTTTGATAAAGTGTCAATAAATTCTCTTAAAATTACTTTATTGAGTTAATTTTATTCACATAACTTGAACCTAACATTTTGTTTTCCTCTGTAATTGGGCAAGTTCAAAAACAAACCTGTATTTATAATACTGTTTGTTCTCAATATATTTTATTCGGGTACATTTCTATAAAAAATATAGTTCAATGTAGTATCAGATTATATGTCACTAATGGCTAAGTATAAATGACAAAATAAGTGGTAATAAAATTGCTGAAGTAAAGGCACAAAGACCCTTATGAGAATATTAATGCACCTGAGAAAAACCACTGGTGACACATTAGTCGTATGCAAATGCCAGTGGCTCCTTGGGATAACGATGCACCTTTCTGTTCCCCGGAAAAGGGACCGTCTAGAAACACTAAGGCATAGTTCTACGTTGCCCAGGGAGGACCCTAGGCATCAGAACGGACGGACTTGATGGCAATAGGTGAGTGATGGTGCTGGATTGCTGAGAAAGGTGCTTGGGTGACATAAGTGGTTGGAACTCAACTGCTAATTTACAGTTGGTGGTTCAGACCCACCAAGAGGCACTAAAGAAAGGCCCTGCATTCTACTTCCATAAAACCCTTTGGAGAAGTTCTATCCTGTAACATATAGGCTGCCAAGAGTTAGAATCCACCGGACAGCAATGGGCCTAATATTCCTGGGAATGGGATAAAAAATCCCTATAATTTATTGCATAATTCTAATTTTAAAAAATATTAGCTAGTTAGACCTGGCAAATTATTTGTAGCAAGTTCATTTAGATGGGATCAACCTTATGCTAACAATACAGTCCAAATGAGCTAAATCCTTTTACCTTAAAAAAATCATAGCTATTATACACATACACAAATAAATCCTTTTCCATTGACAACTAGATTAAGGAAAATCATTCCTATGCTTATAATTTGAAAATAATAAATTGGATATATACTGCTTTGAAAACATCTAGGCATTACTATTTCAATTATTTTTTTTTTAATTTTAGTAACTGTGATTACTGAAAGGAGTTAGGTAACTCACTACTCACTGCAATCCAGTCAGTGTTGATTCATAGAAACCCTATAGGACAGGGTAGAAATGCCCCTGTGAGTTTCCAAAACTCTAACTTTACTATAGTAGAAAGTCCCATAACGGATACCCCCTTTGGAGGGAATTCAATAAGATGTTCATTTGTGATCAGTTATATTGTAAATTGTAATAGGCATTCGTTCAATGAATGCTTGTTGGATACCTTCTCTGTTCCTGGCATCCTTGGCAGGTCTGAAGATAAGGGAATAAGTGGTGGATAAAATATGGGAATAAACTGACCAAAATTCTACACGGTCACTTATTCTGTAGTGGTGGGGCTGGGGACAGATAATAAAGAAAATAAATCAATAAGTTATTGATATGAAGATGCTAAAAATAAAGACTGAAGGAATAAGAATCCCTTTCCTATGGGAGCTCACATTTTAGTACCTTCTGTGGGAAGGCATCATTAGGGCAGACCTGAATGAGGCAGCGAGCTGTGTACCAGGAGGATGTAGTGCAAAGTCGCCAAGACAGGAGCATGCTCCACAGGCTATATATAGCAACAGCAGAGTAGTCAACATGGGGAACAGAGGGAACATGGGAGAGAATGGCAGGACAGGTGTTTGAAAGGTGCAAAGCCAGGTCACCAAGACCTCATAGGCCATTGTCAGACCCTTTCTCTTGTACTCTGAGTAAAACGTAGAGCCTTTGGAGGGATTCGGCAAAGAAATCACGTGATCTGATTTCTTTTTAAAAAAATAAGATCATGCTAGCTGCTCCACTGAAAACAGACTGACTAAGGAGGAAATTTGACATGAGACCAACACAATATTAAGTAGTCTCAGCTTGGCCTCCCAGTTGACAAAACCCTATCCTCTAACTGCATAAGCATTGACCTACGGTGACCATTGCAGCTTTGTTCCCCAATACATCTGATAAATTAGAAATGAAACAGTTTTAGGAAACCTAGTTTATGGCAAAAATGATCCCTGTTTGGAATCTTTATCTGGATTCAGTGTAGTAAGTAATTTTCTGAGGGGCACCTCAGAAGATAGGCCTGACACACTTCCCAAAAAGCCACAGCCCAGTTAACACAATGGAACAGTTCCACTCTGGGGTCATTATAAATAAGAAGCTTCATGAGGGCGACTAACAACAGAGTCTACAACAAGAGCTCTTTTATTTGACATGCTTTTTGATTTTCATTGTGGAGACTTGAGAACCATTCACTATGGAATCGCACTAGATAGGGTCTTTTTGGGGATATGGGGCTTCTTCATCAGATTCCCAACCTATCCAATATGATTATGGGTTTCTCACTTATGTGAGAGGGATAGATGTGGAACATCTATTTTCACAGGATGAGAAAATGAATTGCATGCTTGCGTGTTGAAGGGAATCATGCAGCAGCACCAACAACAAAGTGACTGGTGCAGGAGGGAGGAGACATGATGAAACCAACAACAAAGTGACTGGTGCAGGAGGGAGGAGACATGATGACGCAGGAGTGGGGATGGTTTCTTGCGCAAAATGGGACGTGATGGGCTTAGAGAACACTCGAGGACAGAAAGGAAGGCTGAGTATATGGTTTCAGACAGAAATTGTTGGAGGCATTTGATGGTGGGTTTTGTGGTAGTTTTCTTTTGTTTACTCCTAGTTCCTCAGGGAAAGGGGAAACAAGGGAATTCGAGCAGCAGCTGAGAGTTGGAAAAGGTGTTGGAAGGTTGAGAAGTAAGTGAAGAGTATGTGAACCTGGGAAAGAGTCCACTGTTGTGTTGCTTGGTCATATAGGAGGGGGCTGCAAAAAATTCATGGAAAAATTCTATTATCTTTTCCATTCATTTTCCCACAAACTCTTTAAAGCCCCTTTGTACTTGAAGTGCAATGATTTAGAGTGATTTCTTGTTTCCTCGCTTGTTCTGCAGTGTAGGGACAGACATCAGGCTTAGTATCTTAAAAAGAGTGGGTGTGGTACAAGTATGATTCAACGGTAGATGTAAGAAAATAAGTCCAC